GGCAACCAACACCAGCTTCACTTGTGGGACACCTAGCCTTGCCATAGAAACCAGAATGGAGGCAGTTTGGAAACTGTTTGTCCCTTACAGGGTTGCTCCATTCTCATGAGTGTGGAACTCTCCCTCATTCCCCAGAAGTTCACTACAGGCCCTTCAGGCCCAGCACTCACAGCCGTGTGTAAAGCTCACTCCCAACAATAAATGTTGTTTCTGTTGTTCTCAGTGGCTCTTCATCTCACCCAACCACACTCACATGGGATGCTTTAAGATCAATTCTGTGTTCCAGTGCTGCCAAAGGAGCAAGGTCTAGTTGTGTGTGGCATCCTCTGCATATGGGCTTCGGTGTCTATATTTGACTCTCATTGTTGAAAAATCTCAGTAGTTGTCAGAGTTCTCTCTTTACGACTATCATTCTGTCTTTTTGAAATCAACATTCTCCCAGAATCCCCCAGGAACACTTCCTCCTATCCAACCAATCAGACGTCTCATTCCTTCTGACACTCACTCTGAGTTTGAGGCAGCGGGATGTCAAGGGTCCTGAAGGGCTGATCCTTCAGAATGTCAAGGTCATTCGAAGCATGGTACACCAAATTAAAGAGCTGAGATATAAGGGAGAGGGTCTGAGGAGTAAATGGGTGAGCTGTTGGGAAGCCTATTGTGCTGAATCTAAAGCAGTGGGCTCCTCACTAAACAAGTAACACGTGACAGCAATACTCTGGAGTAATGTTAAACACTTACATAAAATATATTTTGAATTATTCTGCAGTTAGCTAATATTCCCATTTAAGGAACATTTCTGTGTCTTAAAGTGGACAGTAGAGATTTTCTGTTTTCACCCTGCCAATCCTAAAATCTGATGACTGTCTCTTACACACCATTCAAGAAAATCAGAGTATCAGAGTCTTCAGCTGGAGACTACACATCCATTTTTTAAAACATGGGTGCTGGGGACCAGACTCCAGTCCTCTAGATGAGCAGTGAGTGCTGTTAACTACTGATGCGTCTCTCCAGCCTCAAAGACATTCAGTTTTAATTCATCATTAATTTTTCATTAATTAAAATTTATCTCATTTGGGAAAAATTAAATAAAAGAATCCAAGATTACTAAGAAACTTAAATTGTATCTCACTGGAGTTTTTCTTTACACAGGGAATTAGGTTTTTTATTTTTTATTTTTTAATTTTACTGTTTATGTACACATTGTAGTATAAGCACTTAGGAATGAACAAACCAGGTACAAGGTATGAGACTGTAAAACTCAAGTCAGCTGACAGAAAAAAATTTCGTCATTTCAGGTTTTGCTTTTTTCTCATCAACTACCCAATTAAAATCTTTATTAGGTCACAGCTATCCTGGTTTAAGTGGTGAGTTAACAAACATTTACATTAGACACTTTCACATTATACATATATATATGTATATACATATGTATATACATGCACATATATATGCATGAGTGCTACATCAATTAATGAAAAAGTGGTCATGAATTTGAAGGAGAGAGAGGAGGGTTATATGGGAAGGTTTTGAAGGAGGAAATGGTGTAACAACATTATAATCTCAAAAAAAGAAAGAAAAATATAAAATTTAGGGTTTTGGACTTTGCCTGCAGCTGGCCTATCATCTCTCCATACATAAAAAATATATGCAAACCTAGGTCCATAAGAGGGCTAATTACCAATATGTCCATAAGACAGGCGTTTATCATGGCCATGGTCACAAGCTTTGCTGTCCTGGTCTTTCCAGGTATAACTCAACCCCCAGATAAGTCAGTCCTAAGGTGATAAAACCATTCCCAGAGTTGTCTTAGAGCTGCTAACATTGATACTGTCTGGGAGCTCCAATTCTAACCATCCTAAATCTAGTTTATTAAGCTAAAGTAACCATGTATATACAGGAAGAGTGAAATATCCTATTAAATACACATTTTCAGTCTCAGGCTATGGCCTGTCACCATTTCCCTGGTGTGATTTCCAATTGTTCTCACCAATTGTTGGGTTTTGAATTGGCTCCTAGAAATATGTTTCTTCTGGGTTCTTGGTCAAAATCTCAACATCATTTCTCAAGGGAATTTATGCTTCTGTTCCTTGAGATAAGGCTTCTTGCATACACACTAAGTCAGAGGCTTTTAAAAACATTGGTAGAAAAGGAACAAAAAGAAAACCACAAAGCAATGAGGCTGAATAGGACACTACAACCAGGGTCCCCAATAGGCTACTCCTTGAGGGATTTACAAAAATAGCTCCAAATATAGGTTTAGCCCATCTAACTGCAGAAGTATACAATATTGCTCTATTAGTAATAGGAATAGTTATTAAATTAATAATTATAAACATTATTATTATCTGGGAAATACCCTTCCATCGTTTTTATGTATGCCTCCAGACTGCTTGCTCTAAACCAGAATCCATTATGCTCACTGACAGAGAGTCTCACTGATTTGGACTCCATCAAGGCATCTGTTCCCTTTGCCCTCTGCCTGGAGTTCCATTGGGTGATTATTTTTCCAGCTCCTTCCCTTTAAGGTCATCTTGGTCTGGTTGATTCCTCACATTGAAGGCCACTAGCCTACCAGGCAGCGATTTTATATGACCCCCTCATTCTATATTTTGGGCACTGTTTGCAATGCCCTGTGACTTCATGTCTCAGTTTGCCCCTGGTTCAGGTACTCTAGTCTTAAAGGAGATGGATGCTCTGCCTTCTGGTCTCACATTGTCATTTTGAATGATCCATGTGTTTCCTGTTGGATCCTGTCACACAGAGTTCTAATATAATAAAGTATTCTTCCTAAGCTTCATGATACCACACCCCATTAAACCAGGAAAGAGCATTCATTTGAAGACAGTATATGAAAGAGTGAATACCAATAAAGTACAAGGGAGTGCAAGGGAATACAAGGGAACAACTATCTCTTACTCCTTTGCCCAGCTAAGGGATGGTAGTAACAAGCAAGGGAATTAGCCTTGCTGTTATGCAAACCACACTGTCAGAACTGGTGAAATGCCTCCTCCAGGTGCCACTCTAACCATAATCCCATTCTTCCTGAGTGGTGGCGGGGGGGGGGGGGGGGAGGTAAGTGTTGGTGACAGGTGAGTATCAATGATAAACCCGTGGAAGGGGCATGGAATGTAGATTAACCCCATGACACCTCAGGCCTTCTCAGGGAAGTGATGGAATGAGGACAAGCTCCCAGGAGCTGACACTAGTCAGCCTGGATATACTGCAAGGTGTACACAGATCTTCATGTCATTTCTCAGCACTCAGGCCACCTGGCACTTAGATTTCTGTGTCCTGAACGAACTTGATCTCATTTTTGTACAAGTAAGTCACTTTCAGTTCAAATTCTCTTCCTAATGTCATAACTATTTCAAGTTGTGTTGTTTTTTACTCTTTATTCTTTAGGCTCTTTGGTCTTTGAGGGCCTGCTACCCAGTCCCAAATAATCACACACAGAGGCTTATTCTTTCTTATGAATGCCCAGCCTTAGCTTGGCTTGTTTCTAGCCAGCTTTTCTTAACTTAATTATTCCATCTACCTTTTGCCTCTGGACTTTTACCTTTCTTTATTCCTGTGTATCTTTTTTTTTCCTTCACATTCTGTGTCTGGCTGTGTTGCTGGGTGGCTTGCCCCTTCTTTTCTTGCTCCTTGAATTCTTCCTCCCAGCTTTTTCCTCCTATTTATTCTCTCAACCTGCCAGTCCCGCCTATCCTTTCTCCTGCCCAGCTACTGGCTGTTCTGCTCCTTATTAGACCAATCAGGTGTTTTAGACAGGTGAAGTAACACAGCTTCACAGAGTTAAACAAATGTAACATAAAAGGATGAAACACATCTTAAAATAATTTTCTACAACAAAGTCAGCTCATGACTACAGCATTTTAAGTTATCCTTTTATATGTTAGTAAAAATTCCTAGCAAGCAGCTTAAATTATTTTTTGAAATTATGAATGGTTGAACTAAAATAACCCAAAAAGACACTGCAGCTTTAAGCAGGACCAAACAGACTAAGCTTGGAGAAGGTCCTGGGCCAGTAGGTGTGAGGGTAAGGGAGAGCCTGTGGAAACCCAGAAGCAGCTGTTTCAAGTCTCCTTTCTTTCCAGCTCTTTGTCAGTGTGGAGCGATTGAATCCTCCTGTTACTCACTGTGATACCTAATAATTTTTGTGGTAGAAGCACGTGTTATTTTTAGAACATTTACTGATATTCATTCTTTCATATACTGGTAAAACAAAACCAAACAAAACTATAAATAGTAGCTTGTGCTTCGATGACTGTGCTTGTACATGGCTTAGCGAGTCTGATCGCTTACTCCTGGTCAGTTTTTGGAGGTCAGGTAGCTGGCAATGAAGGACATCTGAAAAGATTTGATAAAGTTTGCAGTTCTAAAAAATAACTCTTCAGGATATCAAACTCATCCGTGTACCCAGCAACATGTGTGTGTTGTCACATGTCATCTTTAATATGCAGGACATGGTGTACCTTGGGACAAAGCCCAAACTCTATATTAATTACATAAACCTTGTTGTATCTTCTCAATTTAAATGGAAAGTTTATCCTTAAAATCATAAAGGTCAAATCAATAAAGCCACCTAAGCTAGGAAAAAACACGCCCCCACCCCCATCCCCCCAAAAATTCCCAGGAAGTTGTGCGCTGCCTCGGTTCTGTGAAAAATAGAATCTGTGAACTGGAAGAAAAGAAAGAAAAGGTGTGGGTAGGGAGTTGGGGAGTCATTTTTTAAACTTAGTTTTGTGTTTCAGATTGATGGCGAAATTCAACAAAACAAAATAAATCAAATCATAACAAAACATCTGCTTTCCCTAATGGAAAGGCCCTTCTAAAATAAAGCCAAGAGTCCAGGCTGGACAGGAGTCTTTGTTGTGGACATAAATGTCTCCCTGTCTCAGTGTCTCTGCTATGGGAAACCTATAGACACTGTAAATAACCTACTGGACTCTGGGTTAAGATGAAGGTCAGGAGGGAAAAGAGATGCAATGAGCCTATTGTGGATTTTAAAGTTTCTATTGTTTTCTGTTACAATCAAGGAATTAGCATCTTTTACAAAGTAATAATTAAGACTGCAAACTAGCCTTGGCCCAGCATTCTAGTTGGAACTTGAAGAAATGCCAAAGTCCACACTAGCTTGGGGAAAACAGTGTCCTTGGGGAACAAGAAGATCCCGGCGATGAGAAAAACAACAGGTGACCCAGTGTCACTTGGAATAGTGCAAACATCTGACGTCCTGGTCTGGACTAGAATTGTTGGATTTAGGATTCCTAAAGGTAGAAGTATAGAAAGCCTGAGTTACTAAAGGTCAGCTTAGCTCATCTTGTGATCTATATTCTGCCAATTAGTGAGAAGTATACAGCACAGAGATAATTCAAGATGAAAGCTGTTTCTGGGGTAATCTTTAAAATGAGTATCTCTATCTGCATAAAGACATCAGCTTTATGAACATACTCTTATTACGTATAAAGCGGTATTCAATATAGCAATAGTATTTATAATGTTTGTTTATAATATTTATAATATAGTATTTCATATGCAATGAAAATTTAATCTGTTTACCTTTTGAATCATTCTGAAATTCTATACTCTTGTAAAGGAATGACTAAGATGTTATGCTTGGTTTCTAATGTTTCTATACCTTTCTCCCTTGGGAAACAAAAAGACTTCAAGGTTATAGCTGCTTCTCAGTTTCCTTTCATACTAAGAAATATCCCCAAGAAAGAGGGAAGATTATTTAATTCGATTTAGTTTGCCACCACTTTGGCTGAGTAGATCTCTAAGCTGTAGGCTACTCACCCTGGTCTCTGTACTGCTGGTGGTGTTAATCCCAAGGATTCAGGGAGAAAGACCACTGACCCAAATCATCATGGCCAAATTAATTAAAGCAAGCTTTTTTATTCATGTATATGGCTTGCTTCCTCTTAATGTGGGGCTCAAGAGATCAGCATTGAATATGGGGAAGACAAGGTTTTTATAGCTCAGGGGTAAGGGGATTTCCAAATGGAGGATTTGGGAGGCAAATAGGGTTCCAGAATCAGAACCTAAACAGAACAAGTTAGTCATAACTTCCTCCCAAAACAAAGACATGATTGTAAGGTGTGCATAAGGTAGTCATAACAACAGGTAGTCATAATAACCTTTTGAAAGAAAGGTATGATTTCCTGGAACAGGTAGTATAGAACCATTTGTATTTAAGTTTATAAACAGGGCATAGCCCTATTCTTCAGAAATAGATTTAATCATAAACAGGAATGAATCTAGTTTGTCTTTACTATGAGATGGCTTTCAAGCCTAAGAGGACAGTAGGCTGGTTCATCAGGTGTTCCTGCTACAGTCTTCTTCTTGGAGGGTTTGGGAAGACCCTCCTAGTCTGCATTGACCTGGGTTATTTGAAAATGAGAGGCTGTGAAAAACCCCTTTTTGTTGCCTGATAAAGACTGAGACGTAAGTCTCTGGTCAGGAGATGGGATGACTTTTATGATGCTTTCACCTTTATAAACGCTTAATAGTTTTTTAAAAATCACATTTCTTTGTTTTACATGTGTGTGTACCCACTCATGCATGCATGTACATACCACAGCATTTGTGTAGACATCAGAGGACAACTTGTGAAAGTTGATATTTCCTTACACAGTGTGGAATCTGGAAATTGAATTCAGGTCCTCAGGTTTGGTAGTCATCGCCTTTAATTATTGTGCTGGTTCACAAGCATGAACCTTGTAACACTGTGTGTCTGTCTGTGTGTGTGTGTGTGTGTGTGTGTGTGTGTGTGTGTGTGTGTGTGTGTGTGTTCAGGGTCTCACTATGCAGCCTGGCTGATCTGGAACTCACCATTTAGACCAGGTTGGCCTCAAACTCATAAAGATTTACCTGTTATTGTCTCTCTAGTACTGGGACTCAAGGAATACATACACACTTTGCTTGGCTCAGTGGTCTTTAGCTGACCTCCAATGGTGGTGTTCCTCATAGATCACCTACTTGTTATTCGGCCTACTCTCTAGTGATCTCTTTCTTGTATGAACTCAACTGCTTGTCTATCTACTTAGACACATTCTGTTTTCTTGCATGGGAATTACATCATGTGTGTGCAGATGACCATGATGGACTCTAGGTCTTTTACAAGATGGACTCTGTAGGGTGTTCTCAGCTTGTTGTTCTTTTGTCTCAAGAAACTCCTTTTCCCAAAGACTGTATTTAGACAAAAGCTAGCATTCCCTGGGAGACTAAAGAGTCTTTTTCCTTATCTCTGGCAAAAGGAACGTATGGCTCCTCTATTAACCTATGCCCCAGGTGCCTATTTAACATATCAAAGCAGACATTGACTCCCCAATAGTGTTTGCAGAGCTCTGACTCCTCTGCCTTTTGTCCTGAAATCCCCAGCACCTGAGCTATATATCTCTTCCCCCAGGTTCTCTGATCCCTATATAACCTTATCCATTTTGACTTTGTATGTGTCCACTTGCTCTCATGGCCTCTTGGTCCTCTTGGTTCCCAGCTGACTCTGCTCCTCGATCTCTCTGTGGCTCTGGCTCTTCTCTTCTGTACTCCCTCCTCTCTTGCTCTCCCCCCACCTCTTCACATGGCCAGGTTAGTCTGCTGGCTATGTTCAGTCTGGAATCCTCTATTATGCCTCTAGTTGTGCTCTACCTCATATCCACAATAAACTTTCTCTTCTTCAACCCAAACCTAGGAGAAGTTATGTCCTCATTTTTTTTTTCATTCAGTTCTCAGACTCCACCTGCCATTTATTATTGCTACCTGAGGGGCCAGCTTCCAGCAGTGCAGGGGCCAGAGATCCATGGGGTCCATGTATTAAGATTTTTTTAATCTAAGGGGATAAGGGAAAAGACACACACTCTTTTGATGGTTTTCTTCAGACTTTTTCTTTATTCTTCTGTATTCTCTATTCTCTGCCTTTAATTTTCCTCTATAGCTTATTATATCCCAACAAAATCTTTAAGGCAATATGGAAATTATAATGTGGTTGCATTCTATCTTTCAAGTGAGTGATTATGTGTTTGTCATCTCCCTTACATGATTAAAACAAAGTCATCCCAAGAATCCACCTGCATTTACATCTAAGTAACTTGTCATAGATTTAACAGGATGTGAGCAAACAAGGCATGCTTTTTAGCCATTTCCTTCGCTGATAGGCTGCATATTGTGGCTACAAAGAAAGGACCAATTGTCTTATCATTTATCTCAAGAGGTAATTTTATAAAAAATCTAAACTTTTATATATTAAAAAGAACCAGTCAGCTCTATTTTAAATTCTTAGGGCTCATCAACAGTTTCTTTTTATATATCAGAAAGATGAGGGAGAAATGGGCACAAGGAATTAATCATCACCTTTAGTTAACAACCCATCATAGCAAGAAAGGCTTATCAGCTAATAATAATTGGGCTGCTTTGTTCTTGTTCTCTGACCTTAAAGAGTTCCCCGTTCAACTATGTGCCTTTCTAAACCTTGAGATTGTCTTTTTGGGTTTTTCATATCAAAGCTATTTGACAAAATCATCTTAGTCTAACCTTAAGTTATTTCCCAAGTTTTGTTTCAGATATGATGAACTCCAAAACCTGTGAACACATCTCCCAACTTTAATATTAAAAGAATATAAGCTGCTCGGCTACTGGGACTCAGTTGTTTTTCTTAATCATTAACTTAAGCCACAGTCTATATGGCTCCACAATAGAAATTCATGTGTTCTAGCTATGTGACGTTTCCTTCCTTTATTTTTATTCTCTGCAGCCTCTGCTTTATTATATGCAGAGACAACATTTTATCCTACCTTTACCTATGTTAATTTTTACAGTAAACTAACCTCTATCATAATCCCTTACTGTATTTATTAAAGACTCTCAGCCATCACAGCTTATTTTAATTAACACTATTATTGAATAAAATCATTACTTCAGTTAAACAGTACAGCATAGGAGAAAATCATCTTCATAATAGTTCCAAGAGATGATCATACTGCATTAAGGGCAGTGGGGGATCTCCCACACCCATTCACACTATTCCAGATACCAGAAGAATATGGCAGTGGCAAACATGTGAAAACATAGCAGAATAAAAGACATTCTGGGAACGATGGTCTTGGGCCTTGCCTATCTGATATTTACCCATCAGGGCTTTGTTTCCTGGTGGGCCAATGCCCTAAAGTCAACTGCCATCTGCTGCTCCTCTAACATAGTCACCTGTCCCTTATGCTCTGTGGGCTAAACTGTGCTGCAGATTACTCTCCCTGGCTTAGTTTGCTTAGAAAGATGTGGGATGCCATCTGACTTTTGCCTTCTTCTGCAAGGTCCAAAGGACACTCCAATTTCCCCAAATTCCAAAAGGCAGCCCAAATATTCAGAAATAAGGAGAATTTCTGGTGGCTAGGTAAAAATCAGTATTCCTCAGGAACTTGTGAAACTAGTTCGCATCTGACAAAAGGAATCATTTCCCTTACCTCTGGCAGGAGACACATGGCTCTCCACTGACATATACCTGTGGCTGCATACTGAAGACCATTCTATCATCCAGATTTCCTCAGTATCACAGTACCTATTATACATCTTAGAGTCTCCACCCTAGCATGATGGCAAGGTATGCTCACTGCCAGTTCTCCAACTCCCTACTATTCTCTTCTCTGTCACAGATAGGCCTTGCTATATCCAAAGACCAGTATTCTTTCCATGTTTAGTCTACTTCTTTTTCTCTTTGTTCTGGACTCCTCCAGACGCCTTTGGCTGTTCTCTTTCTACAGTAAAACCTTTCCTTTGGCCATATCATGGGGTGACCATGCCATTAGTTTCTTTATTGTACCAGCAACACATCTTCTGCCTTCTACTACAAATCCTGGCATTTTACTCCTCTATGCTATTGCGATGCATAGTTCCTGGTATTGGGAGTTGCCTTCATGTTTTCCCCTGATTGTTTTTGGTGACATTTTATTTATTTTTATGTATATGAGTGTTTGCCTGAATATGTGTGCATGTGCACCAAATTTGTGCAGTGCCAATGGAGGACAGAAGAAAGCATCAGACAGCCCCCTTCCACTCCTGGGACTACTGTTATAGATACTGTTTGAGTCACCATGTGGGTCTTGGGGGATTAAACCTGGAGCCTCTGGAAGAGCAGCAAGTTCTCTTCACTGCTGAGCTATCTTTCCAGCCCCATCATGATTTTTGTTTTTTAAATTGAGTGTCAGGGCTAGAGAGATAACTTAAAAATATGCTCTTGTAGAGGATCCCAGAGTGCAGATGGGCCATCTGTAACTCCAGCTCTAAGGGAGACTGACACAATCTTAGGTATGCATGGGCATCAGAACATACAACTTTTTTACACACAGATCCATAAATACAAGAAAATCTTTTCTATTCCTTTAAAAATAATATCCAATCAAATTACCTTGAAAGCCACTGAGATAAAGTGTGATAATGAGGATGAAAGACAACACTGTCAGTGCTTGCCTTGGTGTCTTATATAAACCCTATCAGTGGGTCTGCCAAAGAGAAGCAAGAAAGGCATGCAGTGAATTTTAAATGTATAAAGGAATTGGGAGTTAGCATAGTGTCTGACTCTAAGAGATTAAATTATTGTACTTTTGTATAAATCATTTCTCTTTTAAACATTAAACCTGATGCTATCAAAGTACAGCAGCATGGAAACCTTAATATAACATGGAAGAAAAATTAGATCATAATACAACTTTTAAATGTCATGGTCTTTCTTTTATAGCACACACACTTTTGCACATAGCCCTTCACAGGTCCATTGCTACATGTACATTAGAATTTAAGCTTTGAGGGCAAACCTCACATCTGGAGCAGTGCACACTGTATGACAGCTGCTAGAAATGGCTGCTCATGAATATGCATTTGGCATTGATTACATAATGCTCCTCCAAATAATAGCTTTCTTGTGTATGAAGCTTGCTACACATGACACATGTTGCTTTTGTAGTAAAATATGCTAAAGCCAATTCATGTGCTGATAATATTAATTATGGCTTTAATTGTAATCACTACTCATAAAATACAGTCAAAGGCACCATCAAGATCACAATTTTCAAAGAATTTCCAGCACTAAGGAGGTGATAAATATGGATGACAAAATTCCTGCATGCACAAAATAGTGAGTGTCTGTAAGATATATCTGTTTTTCTTTAGGCTGAGATTATAGTTTTTACTCTTTAAGACATAGCTCCTTGAAGGGAATGGTTATAACTGGTTTAAATCCTCTAAAAAGAAAAGTTACAGGGAACCAGCTTGGAGATAATACTGTCAGCAGAATATATTTTAAGTCTGTGGTGGGACAGGAGAGTTTAGAATGATTAACACTATCCTCAAAAGCAATACCAAATTCTTTTAGTTTATTCTTTCAAAATAAAACCTCATAGGTTAATCATTTATCATTTTGTTTTTATAGTTTAAATATTAGAAAAATGATTGAATATATAACCTTGCAAGAAGATCTTATCAACATTAAAGCCTCCAATATTTAAACATAACAAATAGAGAAATGTATTCAGTTTGACAAAGTTATTGAGTTAATAGCTTCGGTCTTTCCCAGATAAGCCACTAGTGTTTTTGGTAAAGGGAAAATGTTGTAAAACAGTACTCATTTTCAAAATAAGGTCTTCATGTGTATTTATACATATATTTGCAAGTAATATACAAGTATAGATGGCACATTAATTATTTCTGAAGACTGCAGACAATTCCTAGATTAGTTTTTGACTCTAACAGTAGGTCAATAATATATAAAACACGTTTGTTTCTGTAGGCCATTAGACAAACCTTAAAATTTAAGAATTATATTGAAAAAATTAACGGATTCATGATATTTAAATGCAACATTATGATATCCTATTTCCATTTTCCCAAATTGGGACACATTACTACCAACTTCCCACTCTCATAAAGAATCCAACTTGGTACCCTCTGTTGCAAGTTCTAGCCTCCCCCTTTCCAACCTCCAGCTGAGCTGAGGTTCTTATTTCATTTGTAGCTATTATTACTTTTTGATACTTCCAAATTCTCTGACCACCAATTCCTCCAATTCACTAATAGAGGTATTCCCTGTTCTTTTTCACTTCTGTAGCTCTTATCCAGAACTTTCTGCATCCATGCTTTTTTTATTCAAGGAGAATGTCTTTACAACCATATCCCTTCTCAACAGCCTCACCTTGTTCTCTCTCTTGCTGCCAAATCATTTCTATAAGAACAAATGCCAGCATGGGACTGATCAAGACCCCCTGAATGTGGGTGTCAGTGAGGAGGCCTAGGTAATCTATTGAGCCTTGGGTAGTAGGTCAGTATTTATCCCGGGTATACAAATGGATTTTGGACTGCCATCCAACAATGAGAGATACACTCTCACCCTGAACTCTTGAGGGAGGGTCCAGGCCCTGTTCTGGATGAAATGAGAAACTATGGACACTGCCATGGAGGGCCTCACCCTCCCTGGGAAAATGAGGGGATATTGTGGGAGGGCACGGGAGGAGGGGAGGGAAACAGAGAGCGACCTGGAATTGACATGTGAAGCAATTTAAATTTAAATTTAAAAATAAAAAATATCTAAAAAAAAAGAACAAATGACAACCTTTAAAAAAAAACCCAAACACCACTAAAATTTGCTAGGGCAAACAAACTCAGTAACATTGCAGGGTGAAAAACCCATATATGAAACCCTGTTACCATTTTATACAGAACAGTATTGCTCAAAACCAAACCAAACCAAACAAAACAAAACAAATAAATACCAACCATACAAACAAATAAGAAAGTAATGTCAATGATAGTATCTTCAGAAAATAAAATGTCTTAGAAATAAGTATAAATCAACAGGTGAAAGACCTCTTCAACAAAATTATAATACACTCGCAGATAAACAGTGAAGGCCCACACACAAATGGGAAGACCACTCCGTGTTCATGAACTGAAACCATCATTATTATACAAGGTTCTTTTTACCCAAAATGATATGAAGATTTAATACATTCTCACCAAAATTCCAAAATGTCTTCATAGATATAGAAAAGAATGTCACCAAAATCCATTCTGAACCACAGAATATTTCAAATACCCCAAGCAACATTGAGCAGTACAATAACTCATGTCAAAATATGTTATAACACCATAAATTTCTGTCTGCACAATAACAGACATAGACACCTCAACCTTTAGTTAGTAAAGAAAGATAGCATACCCTCTGGTCCAGCAATCTTACTACTGAAGGAGCTGAAGTAACAGTTATGCTGATAGCATATCTGTACGCGCATGTTCATTGCAACTATTCCCATAATCATGGCATCTATAATATATTTCTTTATCTCTAAACTGGAAGAAACAAGTAAGACTTACTCCATTATATAGCTAAAATTTTTGGCAGAGGATAACAACAACAACAACAAAAAGGGACTTACCCAACCATTTCATGTAAATTAGTCCGAGTAATTCTACTAAAGTTATTATGGCCAAACCTAAAATTAGAAGAGGGCCATATTTTGGTTCACACTCTGTAAAAACAAAGAAATTGTATATTATAAATACATACAAACTGATTAAAGAAATAAATAATATCAAATTTTAAGGAAAGTAATTATTTTTTGAGATAAAAATTAATTATATATGCTGATTATCATTAATTCAGTCAATAAAATTATTCCAAGTTGTTTTGAGAAAAAACACTTAGGTTTTCACAACATGTTGGGACTAATGGAAAATTCTGTCCTTGAACAATTTGAGTCTGGTTACTCTTAAAGTTCTGTGAGTCTAGCTGTGATAATTTGGATACTAGCCATGAAGTATATGTAGACAATATTCTCATACTGTCATTGAAAGCCGAATTTCCACTGGAGGAAACATGATAAGTGAAAGGAAGAAAATCTTCAACCAGTAAGTGCTAAGCATGGAAGAAATGTAATTCATTGGTGCTGGTGATGCAAAATGCTGCAGCTATTTTTGTACAATTACAAAACTAAGTATGTCCTTAGTGTACAACCCAGTATTTACTCAAATGGAATTGATAATGTACATCCACAGAAAAACACATATGTATGTTTACATAAATTCTATTCATAGTTACAACAAATCTGAAAGCAACCAGGGTATCCTTCATTAGATGAACACAGTTAAAAATACTGTCGAGTGTCCTCACAAATATTCTGCCCTCAAAAATAGTAAACTATGAAACCATTAAAAGGCTTGGGGGAAAGAAGCCTACATAAAAAGACTATAAAACATGTGTTCCCAAATAAAAGATACTCTTAAAATTGAAAAAACTGTCAGTATTGCCAGGGATTTGTGGGGGATAAAGAAATAAACAGGTAGGTCAAGGGATTTTCACCAGTGAAGGTGGTCTATATTCAAACACAGTGAGTAATGCATTTCATATGCGTTTTCTTCAGATGAAGAGGGAACAGAACCATAATGGTTTTCAAACAGTGATTCATCAATTAGAACAAATGTGCCTCTGGTTGAGGATAGTGGAGAAGATGTGGCCATAAAAGTACATGAAAAGTGTATGATGCAACTCACAGAAACTCTGTAACGCCCATTGAGCTTTGTTATGAACTGAAGACATCTTTAAAAAGATAGAGTTTATGAATAAAGAAAAATAACATTAATATTTCTGTCCAAGACCAATCTAAATCAAGACTCCAGAAAAAGGTGACTCTTACCAGTTACAGTAAGATACATTCCTGCCATAATGAGTACAAAGCCCAGTGCCTGAACGACTGTAAATATAATCATGGCATGCAGGGTCCTCCCAATAGCTAAGAGACAGAAAAGGACAAAGCAGAAGCGTGATGGGAATGCTGATGAAACAGTAACATCTACTTGCATTTGGCATACTCAGCAATAAGGCACTATGACAAAGACTGGCTGCAGTAAGTTTTCAAATGGCAGACATTTTCCCAGTGAGCTTACCCTTTCCAATAAATGTTGGTTTCAGATTGCCTGTGCAGCAGAATTTTACTGCCATTGTCTTTTGAACAGGATGGAAAGTTTTAACTCCAAACATGACAACAGTGCTGCTTTGACCGCGTTTCTGTATCTTACATCATGAATGGCTGTTATGCATGGCTTCTTTACATGCACACAAAATTGCCTTGGTGGAGCCTTGGTGATTACACATGTGGTACCCTCAATTGTGCTTTTCCAGGATCTATGCTTTTTAAAATGGAAACTTTCTAGTGTCTATAAATCCAAGGAGACCTTAAGACCCACAAAAGTGATGTTATAAACAAGTACTTACTTATTTTGTGTTGGGGGAGTCAGGCATGTGTGTGGAGATCAGAGGACAATTTGTGGGAGTCTTTCCTCTCTTTCTACTATGTAAGTTCTGGGAATTGAACTCAGGTTGTCATGCTTGATGGCAAACACCTTTACCAGCTGAGCCATCTCATTGGCCCAGATGTGACTTTTTTGTTGTTTTTTTGAGACAGGGTTTCTCTGTAGCTTTGGAGCCTGTCCTGGAACTCACTCTGTAGACTAGGCTGGCCTGAAACTCCACCTGTCTCTGCCTTCTGAGTGCTGGGATTAAAGGTGTGTGCCACCACAGCGTAGCATTACTTTTTAATAACAGCAAAAATGTTAGTGCTTTACTTTTAAACACTGTTAAAATACTGATTATTTTCCTTATACACATACTACCATCTTAAGATATGTTAAGTTTTCCCTACACCAACAACAATGACAGCAAAACCAAAACCAAACCAAACCAAAAACAATCAAAACATACACACACACACACACACACACACACACACACACAAACAAAAACCTGTGTTTAGTGTTATTGATTCGTAACCTCATCTTATGGAAATAGTCTTCTTAATAAAGAACATGGTGGAAAAATGATGTACTTATAAATCTGCTTGTAACATTTCTACACTGAATTCAGAATGTAAAAGTAATCTCAAGGAATTGCAGGCCAAGCATCCTAACATAAAATTCTGAAATCTGTTAGTAAAAATTTTATCATTTTGGAGCATATTGAATGTTGGATCTCCCAAGTAATAAGGCTGTTCAAACAGTACATTTTATGCAAGTATCTCAAACTCTGAAAAACAGAAATTCAAAATACTTCTGGCCTCAAGTATATTAGATGAGAGCTGCATATATAAAACTCACTTTTTACAAAATAAAAATGCCTTCAAGATTAAGAAGATTTTAGAATTCATCCTTATGGGAAAATGTCATTAAGAATAGCATGGAAAGTATTTTAAATAAGCCACATTTTATGAAAATCAGTATTAAAATGCATGGAAAACATCCTTTCTGCCTACTAGTATTCATATTGACAGAGGGTACTACGTAGGTTTCTGGGGTGCAAAAGTCATCAACAATTTTACTAATTTAGACTCTGCATGCTATAATACCAACCTTACTGGCCATATGTACCTATTGATGCAATATTGACACAACTGTTATGGGGTAACCACTTTCTGATAGGACTTGAGACTTCTTCAACAGGATATTTCATGCCTGGTATTAAAATCCTGGTCAAAAATTGCTACGAAGCTCATAGGCCTTAAGGTAGAACCTGTTATTGCTAATTTACTAAATAATCATATTGCCAAATTGCCTTCTAAGGATTTATTTTTTAAACTTTTTTATTTAAATTAAAAACAATCTTATTTTACATACCAATCCCAGTTCCCTCTCCCTCCTGTTCTCCCACTCCCCTATCATCTCCACATCCCACACACCATCCACTCCTCAGAGGATGAGGCCTCCCATGGGGGATCATCAAAGTCCATCACATCATTTGGGGTAGGACTGAGGCATTTTCCTCTGTATCTAGGCAGAGAGAGTATCCCTCCATAGGGAATGGGTTTCAAAAAACCAGTTCATACACTAGGGATGAATACTGGTTCCATTGCCAGTGGCCCCATAGACTGCCCAAGTCTATGACATTCAGGGCACCTGGTTCAGCCCTTTGCTGGGTTCCCCAGCTATCAGTCTCAGGTCTGTGAGCTTCCACTTGCTCAGGTCCACTGTTTCTGTGGGTTTCCCTAACAAGGTCTTGAGCTCTTTGCTCATCACTCCTCCCTCTCCACAAATGGACTTCAGGAGTAAAGGCCTGTGTTGCTCTCTACCTTTGTCAGGAGGCTTCTTTCTTGCTCAAGAAAGAGGTGAGAATAAGAAACCAAGTTCTCAGGCCTAAATTAGCTGTCTTTATCACCTACCATTGTCACCATGTAGGGTCATAGAACATTTTGAAAGAGTTAGAAATAGTGTTGGAGCCTAGTTATAGGAAGGACTGCCATGAATTGGTGTCCACTGGACATGATATTGTTATCGCTTTCGTGAACTCACAGCTACTCTGGTTACCTGTGCAAGACCAGCAGAAGATCAAGCCAGTCAAAATTCTGGCATAGATGGTGTGTTCTCTAGGCTCCACCCCTTACTAAAGAGATATTGATGATTGATTACTGCTGGGGGAAGGGAGAATCATTCTCTTTGAGGATATGGTCCATGTTGGGTTTCCCACACTTTGTTGGATGACCTCATATTTATGAACACATGGTTAGCACTAACTGGACTTAGTCTCCTAGCATACTGAAAAAATAAAACATAAGTTGAGATGGGTACCTGCTGGTGGGATATTGGAGCAGTGAGAAGAGGAATGGGGGGGGGTGTATAATCATACTTCATTGCATCTGTGGGTGAAATTCTCCAGAATAAGGAAGTTAATTTTTAAATACAGAATAGAATGTGTTTCCCAAAGTACTGTCTTTTAAATGAAAAGGTAGTCCAAACCATGTTTAAATATCAAATGCTTACCTGGCTTAAACTTATAGTACTGAAGAAAAACAGGCATCAATGTAGGACTAACAAAGAAAATAAGGCCATAGCTTTTCATTTTTGAATAACTACCTGTTAACAAAGAAAAATTTGTTTTTCTGTGTGTTCCTTCTGTTTGAGAAGTTCATGTACTGAATTTATTAAGCGTATTACCCTGAATACTGCATTCACAAAGTATGAGATGTTTAACATATTTTCTTCCAAATTTACAGGAAGTCGACATTTTTCAATTACTTCAGACCCAACTGAATGATATAAATTTTAATGTCAGAGTCTCCTCACATGAAAACCTGTATTTGGCTTTAACTCTTTAGCTGCCTTACATAGTTACAAATAATAAACTTGCCCTCACTATCCACCATCCATTCATTCTCAGCATTCAGCCTGTCCCCAAGCCAAGCCAAGTGCTTTTTCATAGTGTCTCCTGATTTCATCCCCCCTCCCCCTGACCCTCCCCAGCCCTGGATGCAAACACAGCTGCCAAGTCTGCGTCACTGAATCCCAGCCTTTGCTCCCCTGCATCTGATTCCTGCTCCCCACCTTATTCCCCATTCATACTTCCATTTCTCAGCTGACCACTTCAGATAGACATGACTCCCATGTTCATGTCCATTTCCCCATCTCAGCCAGTGAAGCCTTGCCTCCATAGTGATTTGAATGATGGTTCTATTTACATTCTTACTTTCCTGTCCCCATAAGTATGACAAAAGATATAATTAAGGATGTAGAAGGGGCAATCTTAGACTGAGTTAAACAATTGTCTTCAAATTCAATGGCCCTGCCTTTGTGAGGGAGGAAGAAAACACAAACATAACTCAGAGAACCAGAAGACTCAGATGATGGAAGAGTCGAGATGGGACCTACTCTAGCACACACTAAGGAAGCTGAACATTGCCTGCAAATACTGAGAGTTACAAGAAGCAGGACTGGAACACCCCCTCTCCCTGCTGCCCCACCCCCACCAGAGCTTCAGGAGAGAGCACGATGCTGGGCACACAGCAATTTCAGGTATCAGGGGTCCAGATCCTTGAGAAATTTTCTGTTCTTTGAGGCCACATCATTTGCCTAAATCTGGGGTTCAGTACACTCCCCTTTGGGATGTTCCTCACATCAGCCACACACACTACAACCTAGTACCTGTGCATCTTACCTGGGATAAAAAGAATGGCTCCAACAATGATGATCACAGTCATCAGTATTCCAGCAGTTGATAAAACAATCGTTTTCTTGTTCATAGGGTTGGATTTATATTTTCGTACTTAAAAAAAAAGACAGACATGATTACATGAACTTAATCAGAAATGAAGGCATTTATACAACATATTAGGTGCAAATGCAAACTGACAATACAGTGAAACTGGGTAACCCTTGAATAAAGCTCTTATCAAATTACACCTTTCAATAGGATTTGATAGATAGGGTCACGGCGATACATATGAGATAGCAATGTGATATTCAGTTCTTATCTATTTTACAGAGGAAGTTGTGACAGCCTTCTTCATTGGGACATTTTTAAAGTTTCCATATTACTCTTTTTGTATGGGGGTGACTATATGCATTAGAACTTTGAGAGGAACCCCTAGATTCCACACAGTACTACTCCCCCAGTTATATGGCACTCTAAATATCTTTAGATATTGTTAGTGTTCTCTACAAGCCAAGTCATTCCAGACTGACTGTAGAGTAGTGATTCACATAAGATCATGGGCAGTAGCTATTTACTTAGCATATAAGAAACAGAGAAAATGGCCCTAGTAAATATAAAATTAGTAAAGCACTTAGAAATTTAGGCAATTTGTTTTGATAAAGAACACTAAGTATTGAGCAAATCACATCTTGGTGAAATTCTGGTAGAGGAAAATGCTTTACAACTAAGATGTTGAAATAAAAGCACAATGCCAGGGTTTGAGAAGAGTCATCATAGAAATTACTACACCTAATATAGGCTCGTTCTCATGTTCCTCTACCCTTCCTGAAACAGCATCATTTTCTATCCTCTATTGAACTTTTTTTTGGATAAATGTGAATTTAATCACACACACACACACACACACACACACACACACAGAGAGAGAGAGAGAGAGAGAGAGAGAGAGAGAGAGAGAGAGAGAGAGAGAGAAAGCCTTGCCTAAGTTTATATGCACCAAATGCATGCAGGCAGGAGCTTAGAAAGGCCAGAAGAGGGCATTTCATTTCCTGGAACTGGAGTTACAGATGGTTGTGAGCCAGCAAGTAAGTTCTGGAAACAGATCTGTAAGAGTTCTCCACTGTTGAGTCTTTTCTTACATCCTTCTTCATAAATATCAATATTTCTGTATATTCTCCAACATCTTTCAGGCTTCCCCTTATTGTGAGCCTCCCTTGCATCATCAAGCTTCTCTTAATAATTAGTGGGTCCCTTTGTGAAGACTGTACCTACTCTTTTTTCCAGCTCTCTCTCTCTCTCTCTCTCTCTCTCTCTCTCTCTCTCTCTCTCTCTCTCTCTTTCTGTCTCTCTCTCTGTCTCTCTCTCTCACACACACACAAGAAAAAAGTGGGATGGGGAATTCTTTTTCCCATGCTCTCAGACAATCTGCAAGTAAAAGGAAAAATTAAAATTTCCAAAAGATAGCAAAATGAAATTATGAACTACATATTCACAAACTGAATGAAGCAGTTACTCAGGAAAAACACCCAGTCTCTGTTGTCATCCTGTGCCACTGCCAACTAAGCTGGGAAAGAAAGGGAACAGATCAAACTCTTCTGCTGAGAAGACCAGAAAATTGCATAGCCACTGTTCCCAAATTCAAAGCACCCTCTCCACCCACGAAGAGTGCAATCCCCATAGAATCACAGAGTCATGGAAACAGCTGGTGGTGCTGGCCTGATCTGAACCTCAGTAGAGCAAGTGTTCTTAAGCTGAAACCACTGACACAGGCATCCCAAGTCCTGGTGAGATGATAATTTATATCTGCACAAGAAAAACACACTTGGGTCTAACCACATCAGAAGCTCAAGCATTGAAATTGACAGTAGAGAAAGCTGGAGTGCATAGAACAAGCTGAAGATCAGAGATAGCTGGATGACGAGTGTTGGAAGTGATACTCCACGCAGAGAGATAGGAAACTCTCAAGGGAGCATTTACCCCTGTTGACACTAGGATAGTGAGTCAACCTAAGAGGCAACTTGTCCAAACACCACTGAGACACTGAACACCATCCTCTCTGGTTAAGAGGTCACCAGCTGTCATACCACCAGTGTTAAATCTAGGGCAACACAGGGAGGAGAATACATATTAACTAATGTTACAGTTACATAACAAATAAATATTAACTAATGTTACAATTTTTTTGTTTTTATTTCATGTAAGTATTCTTTTAAATCTTCATGCTTGCATGCTGTCTTAGTTTGCTTCCTATTGCTAGAATAAACCCCATGACCACAAGCAGCTTGGAATGGAAAGGGTTTGTTAATAGTTCATCATGAAGACAGGTTAGGGCAGGACATCAAGGCAGTAACTCAAGCAGAAGCCTTGATAGAATGTTGCATACTGGCTTTGCTTCTCATGGTGTGATCAGCCTGCTTTCTTGAACAATCCAGGATGAGCTGTCCAGGGTGGAAGAGCTGTCCAGGTTGGTACCACCCCTAGCAGGCTGTGCCCCCCACATTGATGACTAACCAAGAAAATGTCCCACAGAATTGTTTACCTCCCAATCTGAAAAAGGATCTTTCTCAACTGATGACATTATAGATCAAATGAACCTATTAGATATCTACAGAATATTTTACCCCCAAACTGTAGAACACTCATTATTCTCAGGAGCTCAAATAATGATCTGTAAAATAGACCATGTTTTAGGACACAAAGCAACTCTTAACAAGTACAAGAAAATTAAATTTCTTATATTCTATCTAATCACAGTGCAATAAAACTAAAAATCATCATCAAGGAAAATTACAGAAGACGTGAAATCTCATGGAGTCAGAATAACACACAATTTAATAATGAGTAGGCTACTGAGGAAATAGGGGGTGAAATTCAGAAGTTCTTAGAAATGAATGATAATGACAACGAAACATATTAGAACATGTATGATACAATGAAAGCAATCCTAAGAGGAAGCCATATAACTACAAAAATCTTAGAGTAAGGGAAATGCAAATAAGTAACTAGTGGATCACTTGGGGAGTTTATAAAAATAAGAACAAGCTTAGCCCAAATTAGAAGATGGAATGAACTTAAGGAAATGGAAAATGAAAAACGAAACAAAGAATTATTTAAACAAACAGCTAACAGCTAGTTTTGAAAAAAATGTAAACTGATACAGCCTTGGTCAAACTAATGAAAAGAAAGAGAGAAGATGAAATTTTATTAAAGATGAAAGGGGAACATTGCAACAGATACCGATGAAATTTAGAAGTGTACTTTGAAAATTTATATTTTAAAAAAACTATAAAACCTCAAAGAACAGATACATTTCTGGATACACATGACTTACCACAATTAGTTTGACTAGATATAAATGAGAATTGGTGATAAAAGGCAAAGGTTTTTAAAAAGATGTTACAAACAGCTTAAACAGACCTATAACTAACTGGGTATGTTGGTGCATGCTTTTAAACTCAGATCTCTGGAGCTAGAGGCTGATGATCTCTGTGAGTTCAAAGACAACCTGGTCTACATAGTGTCAGACAAGGTAGGTTTACATAAAGAGAACAAAAATTCCCTCTTGAAGTCTAACATCAGTGCTCCTTACATTACTCAATTAAATAGACAGGGAAGGGGAATACTAAAGTCACTTTAAGGAGGCAGTTTTTTTTATCCTGATACCAAAACCAGATAAGGACACATTTATAGGCCAAGTGCAATGATGAACAAAACCACTAAAGTTTCTCAATAATATATAAGCAAAAGAAACTCAACAACACATCAAAAAGATTATTCACAATGATCAAATCTCCAGATCTCCAGGTTTGCAAGTATGGTTTAACAAACCTAAGTCAATCAACAGAATCAAGAACTACATTGCATGAATATATCAATAGATTCAGAAAAACTTTTGACAGAAAGCCCAGCATTCCTTCATGAAAAAAGAAAAGACAAAGCTTAAAAAAAAGAAACTAAAAGAAACATACTTCATCATAATAAAACTATTTTGTGTCAAATATATACCCAACATCATACTAACTGGACTGAAAGCATTTCCCATAAAGTCAGAAACAAGGTAGTGGTGGCTACTTTCTACACTCTTATTTAGTTTTGATGTATTAGCTAGATTTATTCTTCAAGTCTTAGCTAGAGAAAAGGGGCAAGAGAAAGGAACTAAAGTGATTCAGACAGGAAAGAAAGAAATCAAATTCTCCATTTGCAGATGACATGATTCTATACATATGATAGTCTCTATCCTATAGAATATATTTAGACCAAATAAACACTTTTTAACAAAGTAACAAGATGATAAATCATTATATAAAAATCAGTATCCTTCATAAGTGCCAGTAAATTACTTGCTGATAAAGAAATTAGAAAATAAATCCACAAACGGCAGCTTAAAGAATCCTGGAGAACAAACCTAGAAGGGGGAAGTGAAATAACCCTACAATGAAAATGTCAAAACTTTGAAGAAAGAAACTGATGAAATGATGTGGTGGAAAGGCCTTCCATGCTCGTTAAACAGGAGAATTATTTATTGCAAAACAGATAATCTACAGAGTCAGCGCAATTCTCACAAAAATTCAATGATTATTTCCCATAGAATTATAATTTTTTAAATTCACAAGAAACACAAAAGACAGACAAAGCAGTCTTGACCAAAAAGAGAACTGGTGATAAAAAATAGTATGGTAGTTAGATAAAACTGATTTGTAGATGAATGAAATAGAATACAGGATTGAGAAATAAAAACACACAGCAACCTGACTTTTTTGACAACTATGTCAGAAACATACATTGGAAAAAAGACACTCTACAATGAATAGTGCTGGAGAAATTGGATATCCACGTGCAGAAGAAGCATGTCACATTCAGAACAGAAACCAATATGGATCAGAGACCTCAGTATAAAATCTGGAACTCTGGAACTTTTAAGGGAAAATATTTCAAGACATAGGCATAAGTGAGGGTTTTCTGGATGGAACTCCAATAACTGAGGCACTAAAACCAAGAATTAAAGAAACAGTACTGTGTGTGATGGGAATTTCTTTTGCACAGCAAATGAAACAACTGAGTGGGATGACAGTCTACAGTGTGGGAGAGGGACTTTGCTCATTGATATATGCAATACGTAAGGAACTCAGTCATAGAACACCAAGAAGCCAATCACTAAATGGGCCAGTGAAATAAATGGTTTTCGAAAGATGAAATACAAGTGAGCACAAACTTGTTGCATTATCTTCAACATCTTTGGAAAGCAGAGAAATTCAAGTGAAATCAACATGGAGATTCCATTTTTGCCCCAGTTAGAATGGCTGCTACTCAGAAACCAAGCAGGGGAGACAGGGAGGACGCACAGGGGAACACTGCTGGTGGAGTCTAACTTAGAACAGCCAGGATGGAACTCAGCTTGGAGGTTCCTCACAAAAGTGGCAGCCTGATGTACAGAGCAAGTTCCAGGATGGGCTCCAAGGCAATATAGAGAAACCAGGTCTTGAAAACCCAAAACAAAAAGTGGCAGCATGCACCACACGCGCTCGTCCCAGAGGCACCTCTCTTGAGTACACACCTGAAGGACCCAACATCAGCGCACCACAGAGGTGCTTGCGTGTCTGTTTACCACAGTGTTGCTCACAAAAGATCATGTCCACAACGGATAAAGAAATGTGGCTTATATATACACCACAGATTCCTTTTACAACCACAAAGAGGAATGGAATTACATCATCTTCAGAAAATTGAATGCAACTAGAGATTATCATACTAAATGAGTCAGTCTTAGAAAAATCGCATGCATTTTAAATCGTCTATAGTTAAACAAAATCACTTTTATATATGGGATGAAATGGCATAGTAGAATGGGGGAGGGGAAAGGAAAGAGTGAAAGAGACAATTATGTTTGAATTCATGACACAGTTAGATAAAAATATCTTTACATGTTCCATCACTCCACATATTTAATATGTAACCATGCATTTCTTATTAAAAATAAACAAAAAATGTAATACTGTTAAAGATAGTGTCATAAACAACAATCTTCTACCATTCACTCAATAAACTATACTATTGTAAAATCATTTAATGGATCATGTGACTCGGCCTTGAAAGCCTGGCTCTGCCAATGTGGCTGCAAGTTTTCCTTAACACAGTGATTATGGGGCAGGGCCGGAGGCTGAATCAGCTCTTTCCTTAAAATAAGAGGCTTTCTGGAATTCTGAGATAACTTCCAACAGCACCTCACTCTCTTGGAGGTAAGGGCTACAGTGTCAGCCGTTATCCCCCTCTTTTCCCATAGAGACACAACCTGGGGACATTTCTGAAGTCACTAAGCATTTCCAGAGCCCCGTGCATTGGGCAGAGCTCTTCAAATAAACCCCCAATCACATTTCTTCTGTTTTTCCGTCGTCTCACTGAGGACACACACAGCATCACTCTTCCTAGGGAAGATCTTCAGGAACTATCCAGCAGGCGTCCTCTGCAGTGACTACCTAGTGTTCACCTCTCTAAAGGCTTGGAAGCAAATTTAGTGCACACCATTTCCTCCTTATCCTGGTCTTCAGTGGATATGCCAAGGGGCTAGGAGGGGGAGTAGAGCTTACATTTTAACAAGTCTGACAGTTTAGTCTGTCACCTCAGAACTTCAGTAAGTTAGCAACTTTCCTTTACCAAATTTGAACGGAAATAATGGTTGAGCATAACTCCAACCCTTAACAAGAATACACATAATCAATTGCTGTGTGTACTTTTCTTCTTAATAAGACCAAATGCCTGTCAGGCAGCAGCTTCCAGGAGGGAGGACTCATTTTGGCTCATGGTTGGAGGAGACACTCCATCTTGTCAGGGGTGGATGGTTGTGGGAGCAGCTCTCGGCCGCTCTGTGTGAAGCATGAGGCCACTCCCTCATGTCCAGACAGATCAGGACACAAAGACTAACGAGCAAGTTGGACTGGTCTATGATGACCATCTGCCCCAGTCTACTTTGTCCAGGGAAGACCCACGTCCCAAATAAATGTGCCACAACCTACAAAAAAAAAAGTCACCTTAACTGGGGACCATATTCAAACACAGGAGTCTATGGAGTACATTTCATATTCAAACTATCTTCTTGTGTTGACATTGTAAATTGTATACACACACACACACACACACACACACACACACACACACACACTATACAGCACTGAGTTTGACCCTCAGAGATTTGGTTACATGGCTGCCAAAGCAAGATCACAATTCATAATCCCCCCTAGCTACTGCAGGAAATACAGGGCTGCAGGATGATTCAAATAGCAAACTGGGGAAATGAAGAGGGGCATCCCAGGGCCTCAGAGCATAGGATTCTGTCTTCACACTAATGTAGCTTATTGCTATCTATTCACCAAATAAAATTATATTTGTTAATATGGAAATGTTACAGGAGTTTTAGATTTCTAAATAGTATTTACAGTGCTCTTTTATAAAACATTTTTTTAAAAACACAACAAAAATTTCTTACAAATTAAACAATAGCAATATGTCAGGGACAGTATATAATTCATGAAGACTATTACTATTCAAACCATGTACATATTCTTATTTATCAAAACATGATTTTTTCCTAATGTAGTTGAATTACACAGTATTTCACTTTAGTACTCATAGAAATAAGTTTTATCACTAAATTATAAATGAAGACTAGAAGTAAACACTTACGTAAAATAGCAAACTGTACCCAGAAGAGAAGTATAGTCAAAAATGGGAAAATAATAATGAGAATTGTTTCACTTACAGCAAACCATGAAGCTGAGGAGGAAATAGAAAACAAACCAAAAACCATGGTTAGTATTTACTGCAACTAAAGACCTTTAACAGTCTCAAACATATTTTATTATACAGATGGAGACCAAAATAATTAAAAGCTGTAGGCACCATTTGTATACATTAATATACAAAATAAAATTGTCATATGGTTTGCTCATATAACAACAAATTTATTTAGGATGCCCAATGCTCTGGTTATTTGAGTATATCTCTTCATTCTCCTGACCCTCATTCTATGGGATGGCAGTCCACGTGGTGAGACTGTGCTCTTGCTACACATTCAGGCCTAAAAACCTATTCTGACTCACAATCAAAATCTGTGTGATGGTAGACAGTGTTTGAGTACCTCTGCTTGTCACCATCTTTAACTGCTGCCAGGAAAGACACTGGCTCTACCTACCCCTTAAGCAGATGGCTCTAACTGTTAACAATGATAACATGTGTAAAGGGTTGAAGGTAAATGCTGATCTTTTTTAATTATTAAAAATAGATTCTTTTCTCATACAATATATCCCGACCATAGTTTCCCCCGCTCTGCTCTTCCCAGTTTCTTCTCCCTCCTCTCCTCTCTAGATCCTCTCCCTGTCTCTCAATGTAAATGAACAGACTTCTAGTAGATAACAAAGCAAAAACTTTCATATTGAAGTTGGATGCAGAAAGCAAACAGGAGGAAAAGGGGCCCAAGAGTAGGCAAACGAATCAGAGACCCACTCATTTTCATAGTCAGGAATCCCATAAAAGTTTTAAACTGAAAACTGTGCAGACCTATGCAGGCCCTGTGCTTGTGCCTTCAGTCTCTGTGAGCTTATATGTGCCTTGTGGAGTTGATTCAGAGGGCCATGTTCTCCTGGTGTCCTCCATTCTCTCTGGCTCTCACAATTTTTCTGCCTTTTATTTCACAGGATTCCCTGAACTTTTAGGGTAGGGATTTGATAGAGACCTCCAATTTAGATTCTTTCCATATAATGTTGGGTAGAGATTTCTCTGACAATGTTTGGGAAAGGCACTGATCAATGAGTATAGCAAAATATTAGGAATCATTTATTTTTGTTATTGTTTTTGTTTTGACAGTTGTGTTTGGTTTTTAACCTAAGGTCTAAGGGCTATCTAGTTTGTGGTTACCACAAGCAGTGTTAGATATGGATTCATTTTCATGGAGTGGGTCTTAAGTCAAATCGGGCATTCATTAGTTACTCCCACAAGTTCTGTGCCATAATTGCCTAGCATATTTTATAGGCAAGACATACTGTAGGTCAAAGATTTTGTGACTGGGTTAGTATACATGTTTCTCTTTTGGTAGTCTGCAGAGTACCTTCCCACACCAAAGAGACTAGAACACAGGCATAAAGGCTCCAAGTAGACACCAGCTTGACTTCTCCATGTTCAATGAGTTGTGTGGATGTTGTCCTGAGCAATGGGACCCTACTGCCAGTTTGCAGAGAGCAATCCTTTGTCTTAGCATCAGTCTGGGATATTTGTGGATTTCAATGGGAACCCTCCCCCTTGGCCAACAACTTAAATTGAATGCAACTCAGGCCTGCCACTGGAAGTCTTGCCTGACTATTAAAGATGTCCAGATGATACTCCGTATCCCCCATTTCCAAGAGTCCTCATTAGAATCACCCTCATATATCCAGGAAGTTTTACTACACTAGGATTCTACACCACCTCCTAAGTGCCCCCCAATTCTAGCTGTCTTTCCCTGCAATCTTTCCCTTTATCCCATCTCCCTCACTTCAACCTGATCCTTCCTGCTCTAGTCCCCAACTGTTCTCAGTCCACCTGTAAAATCTATTATATTTCCCATTCCAAGAAAGAGCCATGTGTGCTTAGACCCTTCCTCTTTACCTAACTTCTCTTTGTCTACAGATTTTAGCTTGGTTATCATTTACTTAATAGCTAACATCCATTTTTAAGTGAATCCATACTATATTTGTCTTTCTGGGTCTGGGTTATCTCACTCAGTTCCATCTATTTGCCTGCAAATTTCATGATGTAATTTTTTTAACAGCTGAGTAATACTCTATTGTGTAAATGTATAACAATTTCTTTATCCATTCTTCTGCTGAGGGGCATCTATGTTGTTTCCAGTTTCTGGCTATTATGAATAAAGCTGCTATGAACATGGTTGAGAAAATGCCCTTGTGGTAGAACAGGGTGTCCTTTGGGGATATGCCCAAGAGTGGAATATCTGGGTCTTGAGGTAGACTGATTCCCAATTTCCTAAGTAACTGCCGTATTGATTTCCACAGTGACTGTACAAGTCTGCACTCCCACCAGCAATGGATGAGTGTTCCCTTTGCTCCACATCCTCACCAGCATGCATTATCACTTGCATTATTGAGCTTATCCATTCAGATAGGTGTAAGATGTACTCTCAAAGTAGTTTGATTTGCAGTTCTCTGATGGCTAAGGATGTTAAACATTTCTATAATGTTTCTCAGCCATTTGAGATTATTCTACTGAGAAGTCTCAGTTTAGATCTGTGCCCTATTTTGAATAGGATTTGGTTTTTGATATCCAGTTCTTTATACAGTTTGGTATTGGTCTTCTATTAGATGTGGAGTAAAAGATTAAAACCCTTTCTTATTCTGTAAGCTGGTGCTTTTGTCCTATAGTGTCTTTTGCCTCATAGAAGTTTTTCAGTTGAACTTAGTTTAGAATCTTCCAGGCAGCCAAACCTTCCTGGAGATGTAATCACAGATAGGCCCATAAGCCTGATAGGATTAGTCATCACAGCTATGAAAGAAGTGATACAGGTTTATATATACAGCAGTGACATTAGTGTATAAAATGGTAAATCTATTTGTAATGTTTTGGGGAATCTGCATTGCTTTCAACAATGGATGTACTAATTTACACTTACACTAACAGTTTGTAAGGGTTCTCTTTATGTCACAGCCTTGACAGAAGTTGTTATTTAAATGACAGACATCCTAACAAGAGTGAGGTAATATTTCATAATGGTTTTTATTTGGATTTCCCTGATGATTGGTTGTGCTAAGCATTTTTCATATACCTACAGCTTATTTGAATGTCTTTTTAAACAAACTCATGCAGCTACAACTACCTTTGTTTTGACAGTGTTGTGTAGACAAGGTCAACCACAGTGGAAATCAATGTGGAGGTCTCTCAACAAGATACACAATGGAGAAAAGATAGCCTCTTCAGCAGATGGTACTGGAAAACTGAATATCTTCATATAGGATAGAAGTACATAAGAATTGACTCCAAATAGTTTAAGGATATCAACACAAAACATAGAGTTGCTAGAGGAAAGTGGAATATACTACAAAATTGAGGCATACATAAGGACTTTCTAATAGCACCCAGGAAGCTCACCAAATAAGCAGCAGTAAGTGACAAATAGGACTTCATGATGCTAAGTTCTGTGTAGAAAATGAAACAACTGTTCACCAAGTGATGATGCAGACTATAGAGTGAGAGAAAATTCCCACCACATACACTTCTGATAGAGGATAAATATCTAGAATATAACAAGAACAACAACAAAACCACAAGAAACGCAAACAACTTTAAAAAATGGATTCTGGCACAGAACAAGACACACTGGTGGCCAATGAATACTTGGAAATTCCTCAATATCCTTAGCCATCAGGGAAATGCAAATTTAAACTTCTTTAGGATTTCATCTTACTCTAGTCAGAGGGCTATTATCAAAGAGTCAAATGACATTAGAAGTTGATGAGGTTGTAGACAAAGGGACCTTTTTCACTGTTGGTGGGAATGTGGGAAGCAATGCAGAGATTTCTCCACAAGGTACAAATACAACTCTCATATGGTGATGCATATACCCAAAGAACTCTGTATGTCACTGAGATGATGCTTGCACTCTATATTTGTTGTTCCTGTAGTCACAATAGCTAGGAAATAGGATCAGCTTATATGTTCATCACCAGGTGGCTGCTAATGAATAGGTGACACACACATGCTATGAGATTATAGTCAGCTGTAAAGAAAAATTAAATTGTGAAATCTGAAGGTAAATAGGTATAACAGAAATCATTATATTGAGTGAAGTAACCCAGGCTCAGAAAGACAAATGCTGCATATTCCTTCTCATGAAATGGGTCCTAGCTGCAGACCTTTAGATGTAACTTGGAATGCCTGTGGATGCCAGGAAACTATATAAACTATAAACCTGATCATTGGAAGATGTTACATTAAGGGAGGCAGGTTAATGGAATACAGGTGATATAAAAACAAAGAGAGGAAATGCTTGGGGTAGAAATGGTTAAGTAGTAATGAGTATTTGGGTAAAGCCTGGGGAAAAGGGAACTAAAGTAAAGGAGCTATGAAGCATCATTTGGAAAACTAAGGTCTTGTAAGCTCACTACAAATAGGAAAGTAGAAATGAGATTATCTGCATGGATGGACATTATTTAGCAAGTAAACAAACAAACAAAAACCCCAGAGTGCCAGCTTAAGTGATCTAGTCTTAGGAGTTATTGGATAGGGTAAACCCACAGGTTCCAAAACTAACAAATGTTATTGTTTCTACTGTTGGTTGCCCACCAGAGTCAGCAGATAAGATATGATTCCTAAAGACACTGCATTCATAGATGGAAAACAGGAAAACACAGCTGAATCTGAGTAGGACACTTCCATCTTTTAAACTGGGAGGGGCATTTACTGGAGTACAGACTGGTGAAGGAAATAAGGCATCAGTGGTCTTGCCCATCTCTAACCATGCAAACTACAATGCCAATCTTTCAGGCGAGTGACCACTGGTACAATATTGTATGACTCTTATGGGGGTAACCAAGTATTTCCAATTGGATTAAAGGGCCTCTCCACAGAAGGACATATGTGCCCAGTACTGTAAACCTGTCCAAAACCCCATGATTGCAGAGGCCATAGGCATTAGGGTGGAAGCACACTCCTATTGTTTAGCTAAAGTGACATGGTACTAAGAAACATTCGAAATGTTTATGTTCATTCTCATAGACAACTGCTACTCTCATCCTCAACCAGAGAAGCTTCTTTATGCAGTGAATGGTATTGAATGCAGTGACTCAGTAGCTGTTCATGGTGCTTAGAAGTGAAAGCTGAGTGGCAGCCCTGAACAGGACATTTATACATGCCTCACGCCCCAAGGCTCAGAGAACACCACATCAGGGTGATTATAAAGAATGTAACAACTGGAAGAGAGCAAGAAGGGCTGTGAAATGCTATCTTCAAGAACGACACAGCCATGGCAAACATGAAGCCATGGCAACTTCCATTGCCTACATGGGCTTGCACAAGACTGGTCCTGTTAATAGCCAATCATGAACTATAGAGGAACTCTTGGAGTACTACCACTTCCTCTAAACTACTGGATACTGATGGATTCTGGGAGAAGGACAGTCATAGTATGTGATCTCATGTTCAACATGAGCTGACCAGGAAATGTCCCTTCACTGACTCAACTCTTGAACGAATGCAACCTTAAGATATACTAACAGGAACTCTTTAATAAGAATTTTCGGGAGTGGTAAACCTTTCTTTTTTCTTTTTCCTTTTTTAAAATTGTTCTAGCAATTTTCACTGGAAGCCCTCTGTCAGTAGGTTCTCCTCCAGGCACTAGCAGTCAGACTATAACAGTTCAAGAGTTGAAGAAGGGACCAGGACAGTAAAACAGACTAACCCTTGAGTAGAAAGGAAAAAGAGAAGACAGAGAAACAAAATGATGGTCACTATGGGTGGAATCTAGTGATACAGACCACATGGGAAGGGTTTATGCTGGTTCCTAATAGCTTGTTAATGTAGCACAGATTTAATTCCAAGTTTGATGGCAGGTGACTGAAAGGCTCCAAAGGGAAGGAAAATCACCCAGCCTATTAGGCCTACATGTAGGAGCACAGAGAAGTAAACCAGTCAGAAAGCCACAGCTTCAATGACAACAAGAGAAGCATGTGACCAACAAGCACCACCCTGGGTTCAGTTTTATTTGTCACATTTGATGTTGAAACAGAGAACTGACCAAAAGGAAGGTGACAAGAGTGAGGATCCAACAGCATTGGCAATGGCTGAGTGAACTGGACTCCACCATAGACAAGAAGTTTGGAGAACAGCTACAGCCCTCCCAGCAAGGAGAATCACAGCACATCAAGTCCCAACTGGACTGAAGGAAGACCTGAACTGTGACCTCAGCAGACCCCTGGGAAGCAAGGTGTCTCCACACACCAGCAGTTAGGGAGCAAGCTGGAATGTCACAAGCAAGCTGCCTGACACAAGAGAAATTGGGAATGAGTTGCTGTGACAGAGTCGATGACTACTCAAGGTCTAGAAGATTTTATGAAGAAATAATGAGGACAGATATTGGATAACCAACTAGGGTGCTCATTCCTGGGAGAGGCTATTACTCCTTCTCTTAGCAGTCTTTAGATGTTTATAGTTCTTTGTTTAAGGGTGAGATTCCCAGAATTTCCACCCCTTTCACATTAGCATGTCTATTGAAATTGTCATTGGTCTTGTTTATTCAGCTATTTCTATAACAGACTGTTTCACAGTGGACTTCCTGGTATTCTGGTAATCCTGCCATTTTTTGACATTGGAATTTAGCAAGTGATATAATTTTATTTTAATTAAAAACATATAAGAATAAAAAAGATGACAGACCACTGATTGACAGAAAGTGAAATAAACAACAGAAATATTACTGTCAAATGGATTCTTAACTTGATAAAAGTGTCACATACTCTTTCCTCTCCCTACCACACCAAGGCATGCATATACTCCCTGGTGGTAAGTATAGGAGAGGTTATGAGGGGATGTCCATGACTCTATTTAAAGTTACTGCTGCAAATATCTGCTAAGTCTAGCTCCTGGCACTGACATGAATGTCTTCCCTTTGCAACCTGTTATGGTGGGAAATATTGAGAACGACTGAGTTGGACATGCAGGAATCAATTAAGCTAGGTATAGTGCAACATGTCTTAATCCTAATACTGGGGGATGAGCCAGGAGGATGGTGAGTTTAAAGTTAGCCTGAATTACATAGCAAGAACTTGTCCCAGAAAAAACCTGCTGGTGGCAAAAACACCAGTCATTCAAGTAAAACCACTAAGCAGTCCATTAAGGTATTGATTTGTCGTGGGTATCCATCCCATCAAGTGAGATTAACTCTTTCTTCTCAAGGGAAACATGAGGCAGGACATTCCTCTAAGATTCCTTTGAGTTCTTCCCATGACACTAAGACAATTAATTAAGTATAACATGATCTTAGTATCTTTCCATCCCTGGATTGTAAAAGATACTCCAAGAACATTATGCCCTATGTCATCCAAAATACGGCTAATAACTGTCTCCTATGCTTCCCCAAATTTTCAGTGTTAGATCTCAAACCAGGGACAAATGACTAACTGAGGTGGCCATTAATACCATAAAGTGGATGCTGGGCACCGGGTTCTATAGGCATTCCTAAATCCCTACCTGCTACAGGATTTGGCTGGCATACTCCAACCCCTACTTTAAATTTCCTCAGCCCAGATCTGGGCTTCCCTTCCCCCAGGTGCCCTTCCCTGTGTGATCCCCTTTTGGTCTACACTCTCTTAGCCCAGGCAAGCAGCCCACTCTCCTCACATGGCCCAGCTCAGTCTGATCACTGGCCACTCTCCTCATGTTCAGGAGTTCTTGACCAACATATAATGGGCTTCATATTTGTTTTTTGTTTTTCCTTTTTGTGATGTGTATATATGTGCATATATTTGATTACAGTTTGGTGTTTTGCTTTATTTTTCTTTTCAGTATAGTTTTATTTTGCTTTGGTTTTGATGTATTGAGTTTTTATTTGATTTTTGAGAAAGAACATAAATTGGGTGGGTTGACAGGCAGGAGACACTCTGTAAGGACTTAGAGGAAGGTAAGAATATGATCTAAATTTATTTAGATTTTAAAAAATGTTTTAAATACTAAAAAGCATAATAAAAATAAAAATAAAAAAATAAGAGGAAAATAGGAAAAACAAAGGGCAAAAGGAACATATATGAACGAAAGTAGTTTTGATGGTGGTAAAGCAAAATAATAAGTATATGAGCCCAGGACTATTGCCCACACAGAAGAGTGTTTAGACCAAAATTCTAACAAGCACACAATAAATACACTGAGTGAATTTTAATGTGCAAAAAGGAAAGGGGGAAATCAGATAGAAACAGTTGTTTTAATGATGAAAAATATTGCAGTATTTACTTTCTTGTGTGAAAAATTAACTGGCAGGAACAGCTTAAGGGATAGGGCTTTCCTTTGGTTCAGTTTCATAGGAAGGCAGTCAGAGGTGCTTGGAGCAGGTGGAGGTGGGGCTTTAGATGGAAGCCAATCAGAAGGTAGAGTGCAGGGCCCTAATCAAAGGCAGGCACAATTTTGAGACCGCTCCCTTTTGCTAGTTAGGCTGTGCTTTACAGAGGTTCTGCAACCAACTAAAATATTCTACTGGCTGGGAACCAAATGGTCAAATACGTAAGCATCTAGGGGTCATTTCACACCGAACCACCACACATATTATATCAATACTTGGTAGTAGCAGGTGATTATGTTTTTAAGTGTAGTTTCTCAGCCCAATTGTCATCTTTCCTGGAAGATCAGTTGCAACAGGACGTAGACAAAGGAAGTGTTTATAGAAATCTAATTTTCTTAGTTTGTTTTCCCTTGCTGTAACCTGAGACATGGGGGATTATATATCAGAGAGCTTTATTTTGGTACATGGTTATGGAAATAGAGAAAACCACAATCATGGTATTGGCATCCTCATAGCTGCTGAATCATCTTCCCTTTCTCCTCTTCTTGTTTTTTTGTGCATTTGTGTATGTCCGGTCTATGAGGGTGTATTTATGTGTATGCACATGTTTGCAAACTATGGATTAATGTGTGTCTTTCTCAGTCAGTTTTCAATTTAAGTCTTGAGACCAGGTCTTTCAGTAAACCGGACCCCCCCAATGGGCTGGAATACCTGCCTACAAGCTCTAGAGCCAGGGCTGTCTCCACCCTGACTCCTGGGCTGGCTCTGATCATACAGACACATGCTACAGAATCTTGGTTTTATTTGGGCACTAGAGATATGAACACAAGTGTTCATACTTGTGCTGTTGACACTTCAATTGAGCTGCCTTGTCAGCCAGGCATCCATATAGGTTCTGATGATATCACCTATGGGCCCTCATATATTGCATGACATTAACTCAAAGAGGAAATGGCATGTTCCACAGTTACAAAGCATAAAGGGGTGGCTCTGCTTTACAATAGTCTTCACTGGTGATAATTAATTCACTCCTTCAGGGATTAACCTACTCCTAAAAATAGCATCAAGGTGTCTTGAAGACTGTACCACCAAGCATGGCCACAAAGTCCACCAAGATTCTAGGTATATACACAAAGAGACAAACCATATTTAAAGTGTGTCACTTACCTTGGTATTTTAGTTCCACCATTTTTTTACCTTCTCTGTTTAATTCCGTGACTTCACATATGTAGTTTCCTGCTTTTGCCTCATTCTTCTTCAGCTTCAAAGAAGCGTTTCCTTTTAAAAAGGCTGAAGTGGAAATTGTTGCACTGCTAAACATAGGATATCTAGAGAATGTGTTTCCATATCCTTGGAAGATCAAAACAGATGTGTTTCCAAATCTCCAAATCAAAGATAAGTCGTTGATGTCTTCTGTCTGTAAATTGGTAACGTAGCACGGAATGACAACAAACTTATTACAATGTCTGGCTGTCACAGAGTTAATATTTTTAAATAATAGCTGTGCTGAACCTGGGAAGGGATAATACAAATAATTTCATGCAATTGTGCAACTCTGTAGTAGCAAATCTTAGATCTATTACAAATACTTAAGTAGCAATGATGCAGTTATTCATGGAAGAAAGCAGCATAACAAAGGTAGACAGTAAGAAGTTGAAAAACAGTGTCAAATATTTTCAAAGTTAACTTTCATGGTGGGTAGGAAAAAAAACTACAAATTTTCTTCATTCATTTCCAGCGTTATCATGAATACATCATTCTGTATCTTAGTAATAAATGCAATGACTGTATTCGGACATACAGGTATGGCAATACCCTTGGAGACTTGGAAATAATTATTTCTGTCAAGTAATAAATACATTGCCATCAAAATTGGATTTTTTTAACCAAAAATTATCCAGATATCATGTTCAGCTTTAATATACTTCTAGACAGAACTCGCTGAACTGATGTGAAATGTGTCTCTTCCAATACTGCATCTCTGTAACAAGTGGCCCATTCTACCATACTTTAATATACAGGTAAGTCTGGTCAATCAGGTCTTATCTTCCCACTAGGATGAAATAGTTTAAAGAATGTCAAAGAAAAGCATTCTCTGTGGCTAGTCCCCATGGCAGGAAAGAGATATTTTGTAAGCAAATCTCACTAAGGATTACACATATTCACTGGCATTTTCCTACTCTTGACATTTCATTGAATCTACAGAGAAATTGCCAGACTCTTCCTAGTATTTTTGCCTCCAATAAACCATTAACTACTCAAAAGGCCAAGAAAGAACAAACCAAGAGCAGATGATGCTAATAAGTAAGGACCACCCCCTTGGTTCTTCTGAATGACATAAGCCACCCTTAACTGCCCTACCATATATAAAGCTCACCATTTTCCTCAAACAGCAAAGATGTGGAGAAACCTGTTGTCTTCCACATCATTCATTTATCAAGACTGTTATATAAATAATTTGCTCACCATCCCCCCACCACACAAAAAAGTACTAAGGAATACAAGACATTGACTTTGCTAATCCTTAATGCAACTTCCTTCTATATAAACTAAAAGTAAAATCAAGGGCATAGGATGTTACTCATCAAGTTGAATATAAACACCCATGAGTTGAGCACAATCTTCTTAGACTTCTGTTTTCTTCTTTATTATGAGGTAAAACTTGATAATGGCTGCAAGCTAAGGGGAAGGAGTCAATGGCAAGGGAAAGATCTAGGGCACAGGGCTGAGGATTAGGACACTGGAGTACGTCTCTGGGGTTATGTATGTGAAAAAGTGGTAGACAGTCTGTTATTCCCTTGAACACATGAACAGGGTTTTTCTGAAGTGAGCTGAAGCAGGGAGTGAAAAGAAGGCTATCTGTAACGTCAGTGTTTACTGTGTCTGGAGGGTAGCTGGGAATACTGTTCATCATCATCATTATTGTAGCAAATTAAAAGAAAATATCCTTCTAAGAATGGACTAGGCTGTATAACAAGACTGTCAGGTTCATTTCTGTTGCTGTGATGAAATAAGCTGGCAAAAGTACGTTGATGGAGGAAAGGTTTGATTTGGTTTTCAGTTCCAGAGGGACACAGTCCATCACAGCAGGGAAGGCATTGAAGCAGGAGCATGAGACAAGCCAATCCCATTTGATTGGCAATCCAGAAGCAGGAAGCAAACAGGAAGTAGAGACAGGTTATAAAACCTAAAGCTCTGCCCTTGTGATATTTTCCTTTAGTGATGCTCCATCTTCCAGAGGTTCCATAGGCTTCCTTAACAGTTCCTCCAGTTAGAGACTAAGTGTTCAGTATAAGAGACTGTTGGGGACAATTCTCATTCACACAACACACTGTTAAAAATTCAGCCCTGGAATTATTTAAGACTACACTTATTAGTTAATCACTCTAGTTCAGAAACTGCTGTTCTTTTTTTATGTCTTTTTTATTTTTAAATTTAGATTAGAAACAAGGTTGCTTCACATGTCAATCCCAGGCAGGTCTCTCTCCCTCTCCCTCCCCTCTTCCCACGTCCTCCCACAACTTCCCTATCCCCCTTCCCCAGTCCCCACTCGTTTCTCCAGGGAGAGTGAGGACCTCCATGAGGGGTATTAATAGTCTGTCATTTCATTCAAGGCAGCACCTAGGCTCTCCCCCAAGAGTCCAGGCAGAGAGAGCATCTCTCATTGTGGGATGGGCACATTTGTATGCCAGGGATAAATACTGATCTACTACCCAAGGCCCCGTAGATTGATTAGGCCTCCTCACTGACACCCACATTCAAGGGGTCTGGATCAGTCCCATGCTGGATTTCCAGCCATCAGTCTGGGGTTCAAGAGGACCCCCTTGTTCAGGTAAGCTGTTTCTGTGGGTTAAACAAGCCCAGTCTTGACCTCTATGCTCATCAGTTCTCCCTCTCTGTCTCTGGGTCCCTTGAGTTCAACTTAGTGTTTAGCTGTGGGTGTCTGCCTCTGCTTCCATCAGTCATTGGTTGAAGGTTCTGTTTCCCAGACTCTCTGTAAGTGGGATTGTAGGCTGGCACTCCCCGGATCCATGTCTAAAATCCATATATGAGTGAGTACATACCATGTTTGTCTTTTTGTGACTGGGTTACCTCACTCAGGATGGTTTCTTCTGTTCTTTTAAACAAAGTTTAATTGGACATACAGGGAAAGAACTTGGCCGTGTGTTCTGTATTTTGTAAACCATTACAATAAGCTTCAGTCTGTCTTTAATTGGCTGAAATGGGCATTAGAAGTTACTTCTTTTACAACAGAAGTCACTGAAGCAGTAAAGGTTACCAAGACATGGCTCCTGATTTCCAGTTTCATTATGTGTGAAACCAAAACAAGGTCAGACTTTGGCAGAAATGAGTGTCCAAATCTATGGCATTCGAATTCTGTCTAGATCTAAAACTGAATCCCTCAGAGCCGTCAGATTATAATTACCTGTGTTCTGAGACTATTATAATCATGTGTCCCTATACATTCTTTTGAAGCCATGTATTCAATACACACAGAATCTGCCTTATATTTTGGCAAACATTATCATTTCGTATTTTATATTCAATAGAGAAATTAGCATAACCCAAATGCTTGTGCTGTTTATATTTTTAGGTTAGCAATAAGTACAATAAAATACTATAAATTCTTAACTATGTGACTCAGAAGAATTTAGTCGTATTAATGCTCTAAGAAAAATGCCTGCCAGGTCAGTGTGATCTATGCTGTAACTGGTAAAGGCTTTCTGGAATGTGAATGTCTGAAAGTTGTCTCACAATGGTTCTTTCTAACATACGTGAAAGCAGGACTCTCATCTTAAAATCAGTGCATGGTTTATAAGTTTTATGCACAAGAAAAACTTTGACACCAATGGACTGCATATGTGACATTTTTATTCCATGTTTAAGTCTAGTTCAATGTGAACATGACTGTGTGATAGTTAGCAGAAAGTAGTTATTTTAGCTATAATGATAGCAATGGCCACCAACGTTCTGAGGACGCTAACAGAAAGCGTGACATAAACACTAAGCACTTAGATAACAGAGGTCTTGATCTAGGTTTTTATCATTCCAAGATATTCTGGAGAAAAGAAAGCAGTAATCAGGCCCATAGGCCATCATGAAAAACAGTGTGCAGTCATCACTCATTATGGATGGTGTGTCATAATCCAACAAAGATATAAGACAATTCTCCAGTTAGGGAACTCTCATTTAGGATAAACAAATCAACAATCCATGACTCACCTGCACAGGCTAGAGTGGCCTCTGGTAAGTTCAAGGAACAAGGGAAACATTGAGATTTCATTGGGGAAAGAAAATCAGTAAGAAAGCTCAGTAGCACTTGTGATAGTATCCAAGTGCTGATAAGCACTGCCTTGTGAGTGTCTATAGTTACTACATCAAGCTAGCATTAAAATCATAGTCCGCTGTCCCCTACCAGCTGGTAGGCAAAATTAGGTTTAAAGTTATGGAAAGCTGCTTCATTGCATTGGCGTTGGAAAACACTTACTTGAAAAAGAACCTGTGGGTATTCTCTTACTATGGTCACTTGGCTGCATTTTAGTGGGTCTTGATTGAAACGACTTCATTTGGCATAATAATTTTCACATCTCCCCGCCCCCCATAAGTCAAGATTTTTCTTCAAAAGTGTTTCCGACCAACCAGTTTGTGGCTGTGGCTGTGTTTTGATTACCCCTAAGTGTCAAAATGAACCTGGTCTTGTTTGTTCTGGCCTCACATTATAGGAAAAGGATGGGAGTCAATATCATGGACACACAAAGCTGTCTCAGGGCAGGTCTGCGGTTCAGTCAACATAAAATTTTCTTTTATTACTCCTACAGGCAGTCCCAATTTCATACCACCAAGCTAACATTCCTTCAAAAGAGTTAGTTGGTTTTATAAAGATTAAACAGACAACAAGAAAAAGTTTGAAGATCATAGCATAAAATATAATTTGCAGCAATACCAAAAATGCAGACTAGTGATGGCTAGGCTACACACCTAATTTTGAAAGCACTTGGTTATATAGGTCATAAATTCCAGATAAACATTTTGAGATGTCTTGGTGCTGTGGGGATTGGTTTTCATTTTCCATTCATTTTTTTCTTTAAAGATTTTCTTTTCATGTGCAGCTAATAGAGTCTACAGTTACACAAATGTTGCTTTCATTAGCTATTAAGTACTATAGAGCTCTTGGGCTATCTGAATCTAACACTACCAAGGGGTATATGGTCTATGGTGGGTTAGCTATGGAGTCATTTATATATCAAATGGTTAAGGATATCCAACTAATACATTAAGTTGATAACCACAACTGAAGAGTGAACAATCTAATAACTGAGGCCTATAGTGCTGATTTTACACCTCTGGCCACAATTTCTATGGTTATAATGATGCAATGTAGGAGGAAACAGCCAATGTTTAGATTGGATCCAGAAATATCACAAACTGCATTAGGCCTTTATCCATCTATGTGTCTATCTGTCTTTCTGTCTGACTGACTATCTATCTATCTTTTTATTTTACTAATTGAGGCATTATGTTGCCTAAGTATGTGGTCAACAGGTACACTCCTTAAAATAAAAACACTTCATTGTGACGTAGCAGATGATTTCATATATGATACCTTACACATTTGAAGTTACATGTAGAGAGATATGACCAATAACATAATATTTATTATTAGACTATTTACTAGATTATTAGAGATCATCAACAATTTATGGACCAGGATTACAATTTTGTGTGCTGTCAAATCCCACATAGGAATCTTAATTTAACTGTGAAAGCTTTGTTTTATTTTGTTTTGTATACTTTAGGTATAGTTATGGTGAAATGGAGAATCTGAATTTATGGGTCTCAATGCTTGACCTTGTACAAAAGTCTAAGTCTGTCATTTGCAGTTACAAGTAGATCAGTTTTTATATTAATTATTATTAATGTACAAATAATGCTGTTATGAGCATAACTGAACAGGTGCCTTTGTGGTATAGATGTGCATCCTTTGGGTATATACCTAATAGTAGAATTGTTGGATCTTGAGATAGACTGATTCCCATTGTCCTGAGGAAGCACCATACTGATTTCCAAAGTGGGTGAAACAACTAGTCTACCTATAAAGTTATATAGTCATAACTTTATAAGGTAATATAGGTTATTTGGTAAACTGTGGGTTTCTTTGGCTTTTCAAAGATCTAAACTTAGATTTAGATCTTGACAAGGTTCCTCTCTTTGGTAATAGAAAAATACAAGGGAAAGAATTATCTTTGCAAGAAAATAGAGGCATATAAGAGAGCAACAGGTTATAGAGCACCCATCTCCATTGAAAAATCCGTAAAGCAATACCTACACTTAAGGCTTAGGGAACATTGCAGAAGATGGTGGCAGGGGATGTAAGAGCCAGTGGAATAGCTACAAATACATTTAAAATATATATACATTGGATAGTCTATCAGGAACCTTGTCCCTGGAGAGGAACAATTCTTCTCTCTTAGGATCCATTAATGCCTGTAGCTCTTCATTCAGGGTTGGGATGGCAAGTTGTGTTGTCATTGTGTAGGTCTTGTTTAGGTGACCATGTTCTTTACTTAGAAAAAAATCAGATACTATGAAATTCATTTATTTTACATAACTTTAAAACTTTAAGTTACATGAAAAGCTTATTTAGAAATGCTTATTCTATTTACATTTACCTCATTTACTTTTAACAACTTTTCTAAGATCATCATTTCCAAATTTATTACCAGAAAAAGATGGCCTTCACATTCTTTGTCTTCAAAACACATAAAAGACAAATGTATATGAAGCTGCAGGCACTGTTTTGTTCTCCTGACTCAAAGAAATTTGTAATCTTTAGTATCCAACAGAAATAAGTAAAAGTCCTCAAGTTTCCCTTAATGCTAGCAATATCAATTATATGCTTGCCTTAATTGAACTAAAATATATCAACAATTATTAAACCCAAAGTCCCATGAATTCAAAAGTAATATGGATTAGCTATTATACTCTGTGATCAGATACTTGATGTAATTGACTAATCTTTTATTTTCTTTAGCTCCTTAGAGCTCTTTCACATGTTTTGGTGGAAAAATATAACATGCAGACAACATAAAGAAATACAAATAAATAACAAAACCCAATTTTCATTTAAAAATGAGTATAATAGTAGAAAACTTATGAGGAAGTAAATCAAATCACCACCATATAAGAACTTATGTAAGAGCCTGGTCCACAACTTTGGCAGCACAGCCAGATCATGGTTCAAGTGTGAGTGTTATGTGTGTACAAAAACTCAACAGAGACACCCTACTTAATAGAAGTGGGGTGTTGGCATCACCCAACTTCCCAATAGGCCTTATCTCTGAAGTTTCACCCTCTTAACACTGCCGCATTGGGGAACCATCATCCATCACATAAACTCTTGGAAGACTAACCACATCCAAACAACAATCCATCTGGGGCTGGCAGGGCTCACGCAACCCACAAGCCTGGACTGTGAGATCAGAGCCACTCACCGCAGCATAGAGAACTCAATAGTAGAGCCGCCACCAAGGGCCACATATTGGCTTGTCAAACGGAGGTAGTTACCAGCAGAACCAGGAGGACCGGGCAGGAGCACGCGCACTCTGCGGAACCCAACTGTGAGCACCTCGCGGGCTCCTCTCCAACATCCATGAGGCCTCTAATCCATTCCCTTCTTTCCATCTTATTTAGTTGGCTAATGATTCCACTCTCCGCTTAGAGTCAAGCAATCAAGTAGTACCATGCATGGTGAATAGTTTAGAATGCGGTGAACAGAGGAACAGGATATGTTGTAGACAGACCTTAAGAGTGAGTAGAAAGATACAGGTGCCTCTACCAGAACTGCTTCCGGAGCCTGGTGCAGACCTCTGTGCTGTGTTTGAGCGTAGGCGCTTAGAAACTGGGTTTTAAAATGTGGCCCCAAGCCAGAGTGTGGCTGAGTGGCTAAGTCACCAAAGCCAAAACCTTCATCTTGAAACAAAGGTCTTTCTACAGCTACTTTTAACTTTTGAAGTGAGCAAAGAGCTGCCTCCCCAAAAACCCAGTTCCCAGTAGCTCCTCTGAGGAGTGCACATCCCCACCAGCTCCACTCTCTGCTCTTGTCTGCATATGCTTCCTATTTGTCTCTGTACTGTCTCCATGATGTCGCCAGTCACTGGTGTTAGGGCCCCTACATGTGATATGCCATGCCTGCATATGCTTCCCATCTGTTTCTGTGTATTGTCTCTATCATACTGCCAGTCATTGGTATTAAGGTCACCCTAAATATGTTATCAACTCACAACCCTTAGCAATATACACCTATCAAGGTCCTATACCTTAATACCAATTGCATTCTAAGGTGAGTGTCAGAAAACACATCATCTTTCTTGATGCTATGAGCAGTGTCCAACCATAGTCTTGCCTTTCACGTTCTAGGTGAGTATTGCTTTTTAGAGATTCCATTCAACTCACGATCACTAGCAATGCACGTTACTTCTGGACAGAAGCTCATGACTGAGCAGTCAATGTTCCTCTTTCTCTTTCCCTCTGACCTTCAGTCTGGGTCCTGAAATGAAGGTGAAGCAAAAGTTGAAATCAGCTGACACGCAAAAGAAATACAAGTTCAATGAATATATCTACCAACAAAACACTCCCAAGCCTAAGCTTCAAGGAACCTTGCCAAAGAGGAGGCAGAAAGATTTTATTTACCAGAGGATCAGGAACTGTACTGTGAGATTGTGCCTCCTAGTAACATCAGAAGCTATACATGTAAAGTCACCAGCAGGGCTACACAAACATGAACTGACCAAGAAGGACACCAAAAAATAAAAAAATAAAAAAAACATGCAAGATTGGAAAGGGAAAAGCTCCTGAGTCCTCAACCCTACACATAGCACTACAGGAAACTGAGTAAGTTGGGAGTGGGAGTGGTAATCCTCCACAGAGGAGGAGACCCGAATTGGTTGTTCAGTGCCAAATGGTTAGTTCTGAAGACATACCTACAAGCAACATTATATGAACTTAACAGATTATATATGTACATAACAGTTGTCAAAAAGGGGCCATTAATTTGAGGCAGAGAGAGACATATAGAAGAGTTAGGACAGAGGGAAGGGAAGGGAGAAATATTATAATTAAAATGGAATCTCAAAATCAGCAAAAGTCCCCCCCAAAAGAAATACAAGAACAGAAATAAACATGTCATCTTTCCTGATGCTATGAGCAGTGTTCAACCACAGACTTTCATAGAGAGTCCCTGATTGCACGCAACTCCCTGACTCCACCTTCTCACACACAACATCATCAAATGATTCAAAAACACTCTTCACTGCCAAGGCTCCTCTCAGTCATAACCCTTGGCAACTTTTTAGTTCACTCTAGCTTGTCTTCAGGGCTAAGGTACAGAAAGAATCTGATATTTTGACTGCCTTTTGTATTCTGAGTGGGTCAAGTTCTCCAGAGCAAGCAGCAAGAGTGTTCTTTGAAATTAGTTGCAGAGTAGCTGTCTGCAATTCCAACTTGTAGTGATATAATTTTATTAAAATATCTCTTGCATTCAAAGAGACTTAACTTTTTCTGAACCCCACAGACAAGTTAGTAATATACCTTGGACTCATTTAAGACAGTGTGTTTAACCAACTGTCTTACTGTGTATTCTGTATGTTTATGTCTTAAAGAGAATAAAACCAACTTAACTTCCAATGGATTTTCTATAGCTTTAATCATAAATTATGTGCCTATGACTGTGTCTCTGTGTGTTGTGTAATCTTCTGAAAGCAGCCAACAGTTTGGAAACAACAGTCTATAACAGATATTCACCATAAGTACTGGAAATAATATACAGATACATATGGTTTGAAAGTGCTCCTTTGTTGTTTTGTGACAGTTGGGGTCAGGTAAATAACTTTTTTACTTGCAAAACTCTGTTAAAGATTTTTGTAAAGAATTCTTCATTCTTTCTCATGCCACACTTTCTGCACTGTTCAATAAAACAGTCTCTTTATTAGGGACAGCACTCATAAAGACAATAACAGGGACAGGCAGACACAGACATGGATATCCCCAAACCACAAAGTATAGACAGACAGAAGATCCAGGAAGAGAAGTGGAAGAACTCAAATTTGGATTTGCTCATAGTCAAGCTTCTCAAAGAGGAATTGCTTTGCTTTCATTCCTTAACTTGACACTGATAACATTTTGGTGCCTCTGAGGTCGTCTATAATGTGTCACCTGATATTCATGTTTCATCTGCATTCTCAACACCAGTCACCATAATGCCTACTAGTGCTTTGTTCCCTGTCTATGTCACAGTTCTCTGGGTGTGCTTTTCCTGGCCTACTTGAACTTGTTCACTTGAGCAAAACTATTGGAATCCTACACCTCATGGAGATCACTCTCCTGTGAGCTCTTTGGATACATCTGCTGATCCTCTGAATAACTCTGGGCCAACAACTTTGACTGTGGGACAGTACACACAGATTCATCATTCAGTCATTGTGAAAGTAATGGAGATGAATTATGACCACACTGTCAGATGAAACTCTTATGTATCTGGAATTGGGAGAAATGGTGGTGGTTTAATCTCTCTTGAATGCATTGAATGACAACATGGGCTTGACACCATGTCATGCTGCTGCAGTATCTGAAGTTTCTTCCTCTGCCCACCCACCACAGATTACTGTACCAAAGTGCTACAAAGAGCAAGTGAAGACACACCTTGATTTAAAAGATGGTTCTCAAGCATAGCACCTAGCCCGGTGGCAGCTGTGGCACCTGGGAGTTTCTTTGAGAGGAGGTCTACCAGAGGTATCAGTTTCCTCTGGGGCTGATGCCATCCTTATTGATCCTCAAAGTTTAAGTAACTTTAAAATAGTCATGTGAATCCAATATTGTCTTAAAATTTCCCCTTCCTTCAATCTACATTGAAAATATCCATATTCTGAAATGTGTGTATTTAAATTGCAATGCTATGCTACTCCCAGATAAACCTAATTAATCTTTAGGGAATATTTTCTAGATGTCATTAGAGTTAATAATACCCATTTTCCCAAATGGTGGGTTCATAGTGGCTTCATGGGACTACATGGAGATTAGGGGAGATATAAGTCATACTGTGTCATCATAACTCAAGAAAAATGTTTGGTTATTATCATCAGCCATAGGAGTTAGAGCACCTGGAACATGTTAGAGTATAGCACCATAAAGCCCTTGTTCTCATCTGCTCTCAGAAGGCCAGCAATATTTTGTTCCTTCTGAGCACAGCATCCTCTATACATGCAATAGGCTACTTAGGGTTAACTGCTGGTAAATTGCTCTTCCTCAGTCATTACAATGATCTCTTAACTTTGGCTGATGGTACTAGATTGTCAGATAAAGCTGTTTCCTTCCACAGCACAAAGTTTATGAACAAGAGATTTTGGGAAGTAATTTCCAAGTCAAAAATTCATACTTCAAAATCTTTTTCTTCTTTCTGCCCTCCGAATCCTTATGGTGTTGGAGAATGATGTAGATTAGAAAGTCCATGGAATTCACTTGTGATAGCTATTTCGGTACTCAACCCATAGTCTCCTCCTTTAGGGAAACAACATTCCCCCAAGCAATGCTTTCAGACAGTGGTACTGTAATCTAAATCCATGATTCTTAAACTGTGGCTCACTACCTTATAGCAGGTCATGCCATTGAATATATGGGATTGAAAATAAAAAAGTCAACACTAAAATGTTCCTGATATGCAACGATCAAAACTTAGTTTAAAATCTAACATGTAATGAATCCATGTGTGTCTGGCAGCCCTCATCTGTGCTGCATCATGTTATTTCACTGAAGTCTTGGTTATGAACACACAAATGTGTTCACCACACTTTCCATACTGTTAGATCACCAGCACTGCCCAACATTCCTTGAATCCGACTCAAGACTGTGGTATGATATGAACTTCATAGTGCTTTAGTATGCAAAAAATGATTTCTCTCTTACAGAAATAGTTTAATCCAGGGTCAGGTGGGGAAAAAAGAAGCCCTGAGCTAAACATAATATTGTCAGAACACCAAGGGAAGGAATCCATAGTATTATAAGTACACATATATGTCACAAGTGATGGGTTTATATTTCCAAGTTCTTCTAATAGCACCCTGCTGAGGTGTGGAAGACATGCTGTGAGGAGATAGAGACATAGATGATGGATAGATAGGTAGGTAGGTAGGTAAATAGATATGGTTGAATTTGGTCTATACAGGCAGACTGCACAGCTTCTGGTGGGCTGTGATATTTATTTGTTTATTCATATTTATGATGGTGCATTGTATTTGTACATATTTATGAAGTAAGTCACTTTGGTTTATATATAAATTGTGTACTGAGAGGGCAATATTACCCCAAACTTTTATCATTTCTTTGTGGTTGGTTCAACAGGTTACCACCCCCTGCCCCCAACAATGACTCCAAACACTTTAGGAACAAAGAAAAAGCTCTGTCATAGCCTGCATTGTGTTCTGGCTAATCACAAAGGAAAATAATCCCAGAACAGATAAAAAACCCAGGTTATATAGGCCTTAAGCTTTAAATGTGACATACATGGTCACCTTTAATTCTCTTTTAGGTCCTAGCC